GCATTCACGACGCCAACGCTTAACCCCAGACTCCTCCGCTAACACGGCATGGACAAATTCAAGAGCGTCGCCAAAGGAGGCTGGCATCCCGAAAAGAGTCGCACTAACAGTGGGAGCGGTGGAGGCGGAGCGAGCGACTCGAAACTTACACAGGTGGTATGTAAGCCTGTCTTGCTCCTTATCGACCGTCAACTAACGGTGTGTAGAAAGGATGGGTTGGAAAGGCACAGGGTAAAGACCCCCATGCAGAAGCCGCCCGCGATCACCAGTCAGCACCACTGTCATCCCTGAAGGACCCCTCGCAGTTTGCGCCGCCGCCCAAGAGACTCGACTACAGCGGCGGTTCGGCAGCATCTGCAGCATCCGGACCGTCGTCTGCGCCTGCTGGGTCGGCAAAGCAAAGACTGCAGGAGCGAGAAGAGGCTCGGAGGAGGGAGGAGGAAGAAGCAAACAGACCAGCCCCAGGGCCATACCGACCCGACACGACGGGGTTGAGCACAGCGCATCTGCCCAAGCCTCCTGCGTTCAGACCTGGCGCTGCGACACCGCCGACTACAGGTGCCGCCAAACCAAAGCCCAGCCTGCCCCCACGGCCTCCACTACCACCGCGCCAGAACTCGAACCCCGATGAATTCGCACCGGCTCCTCCACCTACCTACAATGAGGCGACACAAGAGGCAAGACCTGAGCAGGGGGTGCTGAACCAAGGTGCTCTGGGTCGCCTGGGTCAAGCAGGTGTCTCGGTGTCGGGCTTTGGTATCGGACGGACAGCTTCTCCTCCAGTACCGCCTCGCGCAAACCCATCACCGCCCGTCCCACCGCGACAGAACTCAAGCTCGAGGGCTGTCCTACCACCTCCCGCCCCGCCTGGTCGTGGCTCGCAAATGAACGAGTTGCAGAGTAGGTTCGCAAGTATGTCTGGGCCAAAATCACCAGCAGCTCCCCCCGCCACTGGCACGTCGTGGGCAGACAAGCAGGCAGCACTGCGGACCGCCAGCAGTCTACGCGATGACCCATCCAAGGCATCAGCTTCAGACTTGAAAGGAGCTGCATCGACTGCCAACAACTTCCAGCAGCGGCATGGAGATCAGGTCGCGTCTGGGTGGAAGTCGGCCAACTCTATAAACCAAAAGTACGGCATTGCTGGCAAGATGAACAAACTCGCATCGTCGAGTGCATCGCCAGGCCCAGCGCAGTCGTCGTCGCAAAGTAGTGCGGGAGGCCTAGGAAAAAAGGCACCGCCTCCGCCACCGCCCAAGAAGAAGGAATTGAGCGACGGCTCGGGTGAACCACCGCCGATTCCTCTGAGCAGCAAGCCCAAGTTTTGAGCGTATCTATCTTAGTCTACCCTTAATCCAGAGATACCAGCTTGAATATTACCAGTGCATCTCCCACTATGATATGAAACCTGTTCCCCAGATGTGGCTGCGGCACGTCACCCTGCCTCTTCCCAGTTACGGCGTCGGTGGCTTTTGCTCCCAGATTTGCGCTTAGCCGGACCCTCAACAGGTTCACAGCATCCTTGCAGAAATTTTGCAGCATGCATCTCTACAATCGCACAACGCAAGATGACGACCGCCTTTTCGTCGACAAGACGGGATGTATAATCCTGTTACCCCATGGCGTTAGACTTGCGAGCAGATGTAAATTCTAGATAAACTTCAAGAGGGTCTTGTCGAGGCGGGTGTCCAGTGGGAGGTGGTGATTATTCGCCTCGGTAGCTGGTCGCGACGCCATTGGCCCGTCACGCTCAGCATAACCAAGAGGGACGTCCAGAAGCCTTTGCCTGCTGCTTCTAGCTCCTTGTCCGACGCACCGTTACTGCATGCGTCCTCGCTCCGGGCATATCTGTGCACTTAATTCTACGATATAACCTGTGCGCCTTGCCCTGGGTTCGTGCGTGTACCCCGAGCAATACACCTAGTACACGTAGGTGGTATCGCGTGCGTAGCGAGAAACGAATAACAACACCACCAACTCTATCGCAGCTTTGCGCCGACGATAGGCACGCCCAGAGCTCCGAGGGCCGATTCCCGCGATAAAGTTTAGCACAACCGTTGGGCATTGACCTCATCGGACCACAGAAAAACCCCAGCGGCCCCCAGACCCTCTGCCTCTGCCGCACCCTGTTTGCGCCTGCCTGGCCAACACCTTCACCTCACCCACCACCCGCCCATTGAGCGCTGCCACCACCTGCCCCTCCACCCGCGCATCGTCCCCCGCCGCCACGCCTACCATGTCCGGCGCAGGCCCTTCCCTACACCCCGGCGACTGGCCGTCGAGGGCTGTCCTCCAGTTCCCTCCCGATGCCGCGCCCTCGCCCATTCCGCCGCCATGGTCGGGCGAGTCGACCTTCCAGAACCCCTTCCCCATCCCCGAAGACATCTACCAGGGCGCGCTGTCGTACAAGGTCCCGCTGACCATCGCCTCCGTCTATTTCGTGGCCGTGACGTACGTCAACTGGTACAACCGCCAGCACGGTAACAAGCCGTGGAGGATCGCCAAAACCCGCCCCTTCTACGCCTTTGTCATCTTCCACAATGTCTTCCTCGCCGTCTACTCGGCCGTGACGTGCGTGGCCATGATCCGCTGCCTCAAGCACTCGTTCCCCCACTACAGCGAGCCCAACGCCGTTGTCGGCACCATCGACGCCCTCTGCAAGATCCACGGCCCCCGCGGCCTGGGCGACGCCGTCACCTACAGCAACGTCAACGACAGCTGGAGCAGCCTCAATTCCAAGGTTCAGATCGGCCCCAACGGCCTGCCCGACACCACCGACGTGGGCAGGATCTGGAACGAGGGTCTCGCTTTCTGGGGCTGGTGGTTCTACCTCTCCAAGTTCTACGAGGTCCTTGACACGGCCATTATTCTCGCAAAGGGCAAGCGCAGCACTACCCTCCAGAAGTACCACCATGCCGGCGCTATGTTGTCCATGTGGGCTGGTATGCGCTTCATGTCGCCTCCTATCTGGATGTTTGCCACGGTCAACTCCGGAATCCACGCCATGATGGTAAGCAGCTTCTCTTCAAGCAAATGGCGCCCACTAACGTTTTTCAGTACACCTACTACACCGTCTCCGCGCTCGGCTACCGCGTCCCCAACATCGTCAAGCGAACTCTTACCACCCTCCAGATCACCCAGTTCCTCGTCGGATCCGCCTTCGCCGCTATCCACCTCTTCATCTCCTACACCGTCCCCGTTTCGGTCGCATACAAGGTCGCTGAGAAGGTCGCGCCCAAGGTGGTCTCGTCCAGCGTGTCATCCGCAGTTGCCTCTGCTACCGAGTCGGTTGCCGAAGCTCTGCCCACCGTGACTGGTGTTGCTGTGGCCTTCCTGAGGAAGCTCATCTACCGCGCCGCTGGCGATGAAGGTCTCGCAGAGAACATCCCCGTCCCTGGCCAGCCCATCCCCGTTCGCCAGCCCCAGCAAGTCATTGCCGGAGAGCCTGCGCCCACCCACAACGCAGTCCACGACTTCTTCCATCCCCACGAGACAGTCGAGAGGACCTTCTACCGTACCGAGTACCAGACCGTTCCCTGTGTCGACACCTCGGGCCAAGCCTTTGCCATCTACGTCAACCTGATCTACCTCGCCCCGCTCACCATCCTCTTCATGCGCTTCTTTTTCAAGTCGTACCTCCGCCGCTCCACCCCCAACTCCAAGCAGAACTTCAAGCACCGCACCATCTCCGACGCCGCCGGCGACGCCAGCCGCAACGTAGAGCGCGAACTCGACTCTCTCGACAAATCCGCCGAAGACGCCATCTCCTCAGGCGTGAACCGCGCTAGAGACGCTGTCCGCGGAAGGAAGCCCGCAAACGGCCACATCAAAGACGAGCGCAAAGGCAGCATGTCCCCCGCCAACCAAAAGTTCCTCGAAAACGTAAACCGCCGCGTGAGCCAGAAACTGCAAGAGCTTGACGAGGGCGCCGATGCGACCAGCAAGAAGGCCAGGCAGATTGCTAAAGAGCTTGTTGGCAAGGCTGAAGCTGCTGGCGAGAAGGTCGAGCAGGCGTATGAGGATAACGAGGAGGACGTCAAGGAGAAGGAGAAGGAGAATGCGAATGGTAACAAGGAGAAGATGGACCGGAACCGTAGTCCGAGCAAGTTGCCGCGCAAGCAGCAAAACAAGAAGAATGGCCCGAGTGACGAGCAGGTTGCTAAGCCGGAGAAGGAGGCTGAGCCTAAGGATTTGAAGAATACACTTGGGGAGAAGGACGGTAAGGGTCTTTTCTAGATGAACCAAATAAGTCATCTAGGAAGGCTGGACCGTCGTCAAGCAACAAATAGCCCCAGGCTGGAAGTGCACTGCCACTCCGCTGCTGGCGGTTGCTCCCTTCATTCCCAGTCCTTGGGGATTGAAAGGGACACACATTTCTTAGGCGCTCTCTGTTCTAGATCGCGAGATATCCGGTCATCTATGTATCTGTATCTTGCTTTGCTTTGAGGGAATCGATGTCATCACCGGACATTTATATACAACTAAAAGCTGGGAGGAAAGGTATATCGAAGTGTACGAGAGATGATGGAAATGGAAGGGAAAGGAAAGGATAGGGAAGGAATGGAATGGAATGGATGGCGTAGCTATGGAATCAGATCTTTTTATTTCTTCATTGGTGCTGAGGACTTGATACTTCGATGGTGTTCCCTTCCATGTAATGGTTGGAAGGATTGTGATGCGTATTCCGTGCCATATTGCTCTACCACCGCTTCTCGGTCTTTCAAGCTATTGTCTGGAGGAAGAACCTGACTGACTGGCGAAACCACTCGCTCAGTCCGTTCCTCATTCCATCACTCCACTCCACGCCCAATATTATCTAATACCCCAACAACATCCACGCACCCGTAACGAAGTCGATAACAGAAAAAATAATATAATGGTGTAGAGAAGAATGGCATAGGTATGAAATCTACATTTTGTTTATTGCTTCATTGCTACACTTTGTTGCTTAGGACTTTGATGGTATTCCCGTCCAAGTAATGATCATGAAGGCTATGGTACTACTCGGTGTCGTGTTGCCAGGTTGCCTCGTCGCCGCCGGTCAGGCCTTTAGATATTTAGGCTGAAATAGCTCGCTGATTGGTACTCAACTTGTCTCTTGTCTACTCGTTCGGCGATCCCTAAGCATCATCTAATACCCCCCATCCCTCCTCCACCTCCACCCATACTCATCCCCATAACCCCCCCACCCAACTCCAACATCTCCTCCCTCCTCTTCCTCTCCTTCTTCTCCCTCTTAACCATCTCCTGCAACCCACTTCCTTCTATCCTCGCCGTCACGCCCTTATGTCCCTGCCCGCCACCACCACCACTCCCCTTAAACCCGTCTTCGTCGTTGCGAGCAAAGATTTGTAAGCCGCGCAAATGCGTATCCTTGCCATTCTGGTGATTCTCTAATATCTTGATTTGGACCAGATGCGCTCGTAGCACAGGTAGCTTTGGTGTTGAGAAGGTATTTGAGGGAGCGGGGCGCGGTGCGGGGTTGGGTGAGAGAGATGCGAAAGGGGCGCGAGGATGGGGGCGGGGGAGGGTTTGCGGTTGTGTTTGTGTGGATGGGGGGATGGTGGGTGTTGATGGGGGGTGGTTTTGGGTTGGTGTGACGGTTGGGTTTGGGTGGAGGTTTGCGCGGCGGGTGCGGGTGCGGGTTGCTGGTGGAGGGGGTTGTGACTGTTGGGTGGGTTGGGGTGTGTCGTATGAAGGATAAGGAGGTAGGGGCGTATCTTGCTGTCCCGGTGTCTGCATATCCATATCCCCTCCCTGGCCTGGCGCCGCGTTTTCAGAATCAGAAGATGCGTCGTTGCCTCTCCTACCGCCGTTCAAGTGTAAGGCGTCTGTGAGGAGACGTTGTGGCCGTTCGCCTGCGTTCCCTCCTCCATCACCTTCTTCGTCGTCGTCGTCACCACCCTCATCATCACTATCCGGATCTCCTACCCCCGAGAAGTCAGCCCAGATCCATCCCCTCGGACTCTCCAATCGCATCTCGCCCCATTCCTGGAGGTCGTTCAGCCCGCTGCCAGCGAGGAAGATGATCTTCGTGGGTGTATAACTCTCGTCTTGTTCGAAGTCGAGATACAGTCTCAATCCCACAATACGGACGAGTTTGAAGAAGTGGATGTTGAGATAGTGAGGCTGTGGTCCATCGGATTGCCAAAAGAGGTTCGTGTTCGGGTGCCGCAGTTGGGGAATTGAACAGCCTGGTTTGGAAGAAGAGACGGTCCAGGATGCTAGGGTGGAGATTTCGCGGAGGTAAGGTGGTGGGGGATCGAGGTTGGGTAGACTGTCCGAGGGGAGGTTTGGGGATGCGAGACCATCTTCTGAACCGAGTTCTTCGTCGTCTTCTTCTTGGTCTTCTTCATCGCCCTCGAGGCCGATTAGGTCGTCGCCAAGGGTTTCGTCATCGTCGGCGGCGTCGAGATCCTGCTCTTCTTCTTCTTCGACATCTTGGCGACCGTCTAGTTCTGCGTCGCTGGACGTGTCTTGGGCTTCTGGTGGTGAGGGCGGGGGCATGCGATGTTGGTGTGCTTGGCCTCCTCGTCGGCGAAGTGAAGGCGGCATGCTGATCTTCGCTTCCTCAAGTGCTGTAAAGGGACGCTAGGTTGACGTCACGGAATGCAGGATGCAAGCTTCGGGGGAGCGTGACTAGGGCCCGTGGCGACAGCAAGCAGGGGTGAAGCGTGTCTGAAAAGGGTCTGGAGTGTGCTGTATGGCTGCCCTGACCGGACACCTCAGGCAGCTTCCGTGCAAACCTTCGTTCCCAAGTCGCGACTACTCCCGCACCTATCGTCTGTCTAGGCTCGCCTCGGTCCACGGGTATCTGGTATTTGGGATCGTGGCGTCCCTGGCTAAGGCGAATGTGGCAGACCGTGCGGACGAGTGTTGATCACTCACGTGCATGCGAGCCAGGTACCCAACCGGACGCAAACAGTGCGAACCCAACTTCAGTGTCGATATATTGATGAAGGGGCGATATTCTCCGGTGTTCAGGCCAATCTTGGGTGGCCGATGTGGTTTCTTTTTCTGCCGTTTGCTTCGTGCTGCTTTCTCCGCCAGGGTCATGTTTGCTTGTTTGCGATGGAAGCAGGACTGGAACTGGAAACTGAAGGTCCGAGCGTCGGCGAGATCACCAATCCCGAGGTCCCTCTCCCTTTCAGACCCACCCTGTGCCTGACACTACCCTCAACGCCCCCCCACCGACTCCCCCGCACGCATACTGTATGTTTCGCGTCCGCTTATAATCGTCTGCCTGCATACTTGCTGCACATACTCCTAATTCAGTGTCGGAGAAGACCCCGTGAAGCCCAACATGGGGCGGCAACGCTAGGCAGCGTCCCCGCAGCGCCGCCGTCTACACTACGAGTAACGATAGCTCAAGGTTCGGATTCGCCTCAGCCGTCAGATTAGAGTTTTGGATGCAGCTCCAGAGCTCCTCACAGGATGGAGAAGGCCGCTGGTGGGCAATAGTCTACTGGGAACTTGATAGACTGGCTGGGCCGCTGTGCATGCTACTACAAGCCATAGTCGACCAAACTCGACTCAACATAATGATGCGGGATACTAAACCGGTTCTTCCCTTCGATGCAGGTCCCGCCGTTTCTTATTGTATCTTTCTCATGAACGACTATACGTTGCTCTCTTCGAGCAACACGCTACTCTCGTTTGATACCACTGCGCGACGTTGCTTTTCATCAGCTTGACACTTGGTCGTGCTCTCGACATCGACACCATGACGCACAGCTCAGCCGACCTGGCGATGGCCGCCGAACAGCAACAACGGATTACCATTGCCTTCCTGGTTGTATCCTGGATCTTCATCCTACTCAGGATATGGACTCGCACATGTATTATCCGCAGCTTTGGCTGGGATGACGCGGTCATGCTACTTGCCGGTGTAGGTTCTTGTCACCACTACCAACGTGATCAATGACTAATATCAACAGTTGACGTTCACTGTGTTCTGCGGATCAGTTTGGTTGGTTGAAGCATCTGGCGGAACCAGCGAGATTACCAGTGCAGATGACTTGCAGAAGGTGACAAAGGTGCGTATTCTGACTTTGTCGTTGCGAATCACACTAACCATTACAGTGGGTTATTGTGAGAGAAACCGGATATCTCATGGCTATCATGCTGGTCAAGATTTCTCTGGCTATCTTCTTCTCCCGCATCGTCGTCAGGCGCAGTCACTTCATCATCATCTACGTGACCGTCGCTGCCAACATTGTGTCATCGATGTCTGCATTCTTCTACGTCATCTTCCGATGCGGACCCAACTTGGAGAAGTACGCAGTCAACGAGATTATCGGTCGCTGCCAATCGCGGCAGGTCGATTACTTCTTTGCCTATCAACAAGGTATGTGGCGCGAATGAATTATGTACACACAAACTTACGAAGTACTCCACAGCGACCTTTAGTACATTGACAGACGTCGTCTTCTTCTTATTACCCATCCCCATTCTATGGTACGCCAATATGGATCTGCGGCACAAATTCTCCGTCGGCTTTATCCTATCCCTCGCAGCTCTGTACGTATCGACTAAAGCCACTCTCAAACCGCTCTACTAACATATCACAGTGGCTGCATCTGCTCCGGAATCCGCTTCCCTTACATAACCGGTCTAACAGAACTCGAAGACTTCTTCTGGGACGTGACCAACGTGTCCATATGGAGTACCGTCGAATGCGGCACATGCATCATAGTCGGCTGCATGGCAACCCTCCGCCCACTCATGAAGATGGGAATCTCAAGAGCACGGGACATGACTACCAGGGACGGAAGCAGGAGCGGCACGATGAAGAGCACGCGAGCATCTCCACGAACGACGAATCACTCACTCTCCCAACTCAACTTGCATGCTACGCCGCAAAATAACCTCTTACTCGCGGAGCTGGGCATACAATACAACGGCGTCGAAAGCAAGACCTCTTCATCACCAAAACTGGAATCAATGTACGAAGCAAAGACCATTACGCGCCCAAACACCGCGGCAACACCTCTTCCATCTGATATGGGCTACCCGAAACGCAGCAGCGCTGATCCTATCCTCGCTCGCACCTCATCCGACGCAACAGACCTCCCTTTATGGAAAGCGCCGGAGGAAAAGAAACCCCGCCAACCGTCGCGTCTCAGCCTCAGTCGCGCTCTGTTGCACCGCAGCCGGCCCACGAGCGAAGACATCAATTATGGCAATCCTCTGTCACATCCTGTTTCGCCGCCGAGGTATATGGATGTGGGGGATGCTGTGTGAGAACACCTCACGACTCGATTAAATATTGTACATATATGCACACAGACACGACCGTAACGACGCTACGCCTTTCCTTTTTATTCAGTGGACCGAAATGGACGGCAAAAGACCAATCCATCAATCGTTTGATGAGGATAAAAGAAAATCAGTTTTATACCCCAATGTATTTTTAGCCAAACCAGAAGATCCTCGGATTTAATAACTACGACTGTCAAGACATTATTCTCAGTGTCCCTAGACTGCAAAATATGTGCTGGATTGTGACATGGGCGGCCCGCCACCCGGTTTGTCAACGCTAATGTTCGTCGTGACTTAGTGGTGATGCATTTTGCACTACGGGTAAAGACGGCGGAGGAAGGTTTTCCGTTGTACCAGTACCAGTTACAAGGAAAGGGGATGAGACTATTGACATTGCATGGCATGCCTTGCAGCATGGTACGATGGCGTTGTGAAGTACGGGGTAGTGAGTGGGCATTACCTACCGCCTCAAACTGAAGGCTCCGCATTCTATGGCAATTCCAATCTGAACCCACATCAGAAAAGAGACATACACGACGAATCCGCCGCCACCCACCCGGATAGGTAAATGCTCATATCTCGTTCCATCAACGAAAGACAAATCACAATACCTATTCATACATCGTTTAGATACATAACATCCACCCACCACGTCGTCCTCGCCTTTTCCATGCCTGTTTCCATATCTAATCCTGGCTTCCTCAATAGCTCAAATCCACATCCTCATCATCACCTATCTCCCACCCATAAACTCAGGCTTGAATGCCTTAACACCCCCCGCCTTCATCAGCTCCCTCAGGGCCATAGTAGCATACTGGCTACTCGCCAACTGCAGCTTAATCACCACAGCAATCTTCTCCTCTTCCGCCTCATCCTTCTCCTCCTCCGCCTCATCCTTCTCCTCTCCATCTTCCATCTGCGCATCCGCAGCCTCTTCTTTCTTATCATCCTCTTTCCCATTCATCTTATGTCCAACGTCTCTCTCGCGCCCCAACCTCTGCAGATCCGTCTGCACAAACTGCTCATCCACCTTCCTATAACTATGAACCTCAAACTCAAGCGGCCGCAGCGGCTTCGCCAAAAACTTCCTATACCCCCCACTCAAACTAACCTCCCTCCAACTCCTGCGCATGTTATACGGATCCAACCCCCCACCCTTCTCACTCCCCATAAAAGTCTTGTAGTACTCTCCAATCTCATTTCGAGGGTACTCGACATCGAAGCCCGGTTGCGGAAGCACAACGTCCCAGATACTATACTCCCCACTAGCAGCTTCCTGCGCAGTAAGCGGACGCGCGCGTTCGAAATCCGCGTCAGGCGCAAGCGAAGAATCGGCGCCGGAGGGATCGATGATGGGTTCGCCGTCTTGGTCGTGTGTTGCTTTTGGCATTTTCTCTCCGCTACCCGTTTCTTTATCGCGGTGTTCGTTTACGAGGACGAGGTCGCCGGGGACGACTTTGTCGCCGTGTGTGGCCCAGCGTTTGCCGGCTACGCTGTTCCAGACGAGGGATTGGTAGGCGTGGACGTACATTAACCGCAGTGTACGTGGGATTGTCATGAGCGCGCCTTGCCAGTCTGTCTTGCGGTCGTAGCGGCCTGATTTACTATTGCGCGAACTTAGATGCTGGATTATGTTTCGCTCCGCGGTGAATTTGCGGGGCAGGAAGTCGAGGGCTTCGGTGCCGGAGCCTTTGGTTTTCCAGATGTGCAGGGCGTGGGCGCGGTTGCGGTCGTCTTGCGAGACTAGAGTTGTGGACTCGGACGGGTTTAGGGCAGAGGCGAGGGCGGTGTCGCTGTATGCGAGGAGGTCCTCGACGGCGCCTTTGAGGTCGTCTTGTAGCATCTTGCGGCCGATGGCGTCGGTGCTGGCGGCGAAGGAGCCGAAGCGTTGGAGGCCGTAGTAGTTGATGAAGCCTTTTTGGGAGAAGTCGGTGATGGCTTTGCTGACTACGTCGTGGGCCAATTTACTTCGCTGAGGAAAGTCTAGGCCTTCTTCGCTTTGGAAATGGCAGTCTCGGAGGGTGATGGTGAACTCGTTGCCCATCAGGTCTCCTAGCTTCAAGTCGTTGTGGCGGTACTCAAAGTCTCCTACTGCGGCGTTGAACAGGATCTTGTTGAAGTTCTGGATGCGCTGGGCGAGTTGGCGCTTTACGCAGACTCGTTGGACGGTGCATGCTCGTCTGTCTTTTGTGCCTGCGAAGCCGAAGCCCTTGGCGCCGCAGTTGAGCTTGCTTCCTAGGAACCCTACAACTTCCATTGTGTCTTTGTTTTCCTTGTACAGGTTGAAGTGCAAGTATTCGCCACCAAGCTCCTCCCAATCTTGACCTCCTCGTCGGCTTCCCTGATTCTCGCGATCCTTTGCGCCGCCCTTGCCCTTCTTCTTTTTGCGCTCCGCTGGTGGAGTCGCCTTGATGCGTATGGTCTGGTTCTCCTCCATAGCACTCTCGAGGAGGTTAGGAAAGATCCGACGTAGACTCTGGTGAGCTTGGGTGCGCTTGTCCTTGTCGGTTATGGGCGATGATATCACGGCTTTGAAGTCCTTTGCCTTTCGCGATTCTTTTCTCCGTACTTGTCTGACAAGTTTTACGATCTCGTCGGTAGTCTGTTCGCCGAATATCGAGTGTAGGGTATTGCGATCTTCTTCCGGCAACTGTATGGTGTTAGCATCCGCGCAGGATATGTGCCTACAGACCACCTACCTGTTCTTCAGGCTCTTCCTGAGCTACCGGCGGTTTCCCAATAATCTCTTCTCCATCATTCCCCTCCTCCTTCGGCGCATCTTCCACCTTCGCCGGCTCCGGCACCGCAAGCGTAGTCTCACCAACAACTCCCGCATCCTGCATAACAGCATCGACCTTCTCCTCAGTCGCTGCCGTACTCTCAGGCTTCTTTTCGCTCGCACCATTCGTCTTCTCCACATCCTCCTTCCCAGCCTTCTTCTTATCCACCACCTCCGTGCTCTTCAAATGCAGCACCTGTCCATCCAACCCAATCTCATTGACCAAGAAATCCGTATACCTCTGCTTCAGCACACCCGTAAAGCCCAGGTTATCCGGGCACACATACTCGGTTATACCGGCGCGTACTTCGCGCTCCAGATCCGTGTCAATGGTTGCTGGTGCCGAGAGAATCGAGGCCGCGGGAATCGGAGCTGAATTCGGAGCTGCGGTTGATGTGGTGGAGAGCGAGGGAGCGGCGTTATCGTCGAGGCGCGCGCGTTTCGCCGGTCGCGTGGATTCGTCTGACGGGTCAGACATGTTTGCGCACGTGAGAGATGTGGTGGGGTGGTTGTGTGGGAAAGGTAGGTTTTGTAGATGGTTGAGCTGCGAGATTCTAAGCGGGGAAGTTTTTCCCGAGGACGTGCGCGCGGGGAGGTGAGTTTTGGCGAGGCACGAACATGTTATCACCACTATCTCCATAATCTCACCTTGCGAGGACCTGTAATGAAGCTGTTCAGACTATTAGGGAGGATTCACAAGCAAAGGTGCCAAGTATTAATAATATCACAAGATATCGAATTCATCATCTTATCAACTCGACTCAAAAGAAAAGGATCCGGCCCAAACTCCTCCATCCTGCCCAGGGGTATAAATAATGCTTCTCGACTTCATACAGCGTATCTTTCAAGCGAGTGTGACATTCCGCCTCTTACATGGGACAAAGACAGAACAACAAAATATACACGTTCGTTAAAAAAAAACAAGGTCCCCAAAGGGAAAAGAAGTGAAGAAGATCGTCTAAGTCAATGAACATCCATCAAGGAATATCCACGTAGTTGTTATCGCAGAGGAAGGAAGAGGTATTTATCCCGAAGCGAAGATAGCAAGGGTAGCGCAGAAGTTAGAGCGGTTATCCTCGTCCTTGGCTAGACCCTGACCACCCATGGTGATCATGTTGACGGACGCCTTGGTGCTAAGACCGAACCAGTTGACGTTTGTCGAGTTGGCGATCTCGTTCATGTCTTGCTGGCAGTTCTGGCCGACGACACAGTCTTGGTCGTAGTTCTGGAAGAACGAGTAGGTACCCGCGCCGTATGACCAGATGCTGTCGCTGCCGTCGGTGACACGGACGGCCCAGGCGGCCTTGGCTTGGCTCATGTCTGGGTCGAAGTACTTGTCGTTCTTGGTGAAGGGGACGGCGGCGGTGGGGTTGGGCTGGTAGTAAGGCGTTTCGGTTTGGATGGCGCCGTAGAAGATGTCCTTGGCGCCGGAGAACTGGTATTGTGACATTTGAGAGTGCTCGGAGGCGGTGCCGTACATCCAGACGGGGCCTTGGGATTCGACGAGCATGCCGCGGCCGTTGTAGATGTCGATCTGGGAGTGGTCGTCTTGGTCGAGCTCGTGGTCGGCGGTCCAGAGCCAGACGTTCTCGAAGTAGCCGTTGGAGTTCTTGGTGATGTGGAGCTGCATGAAGGAGCCGATGCACTCTGGGTTGGGCTCGTGGGTCGCGTCGGGGTTCTTCTTGCAGTTGGACGACTGGAGCTTGGTTCCGGCGTAACCACCGACACGGAAGTGGACGTCCCAAAGACCGGCGGCACCGTTCTCAGCGTTGATGTTCCACTCCATCAAGATACCACCGGGAGCAGGGCCCTGGGTACCGATGATGAGGTCAGAGGCCTCGAAAGAACCCTTGTCGCCGCTCTTAGCACCAATCTGGAAACCAGGCTTCGGGTCGTCCATGTTGGAGAAGAACTCGCCAGTGATGAAGAAAGTGCTGTAGACTTCACCGACCATCTTGACGTTCTTCTCAGCGGGGACGACGACAGTCTTGGTGATGAGGTAGGCACCGTGGTCGACGTGGAGAACCTCGCCTTCCTGGAGACCATCGATAGCGGCCTGGATAGCAGCAGTGTCGTCGGTAGCACCGTCACCCTTGGCACCCTTGGACTTGAGGCTGACGAACTTGGAGACGTCGACGTTCTCGTACTGGGGCTTGCTGCGCTCGAACCAGCCGTTGAGACCCTGAAGGCTCTGGGGCTTCGC